TCTGAAAGCACATTCTTTTGTAGCACATGATCAATTTTATATATTTTGTGATTTTTCTTTCTACAGCACACCTACTCCTGTACCCAATTCTCACATTCCTAGCCTTACTATTCCATACCTGGAGATGTACACGGTAGGCAGAAAACAAGCAGACTCATGTCTTTAGCATTTTCTTCTAAGTCTCAGAACCTAAACATATTTTTTTCTGAGTTACAGGATTTGACTAGCTGTAAGGTAAGCTCTGTTTAAACCCTAAATGGGCTGGGTGCAGTGGCTCATGCCTATAATCCTAGCACTAAAGTTGAGGCAGGAGGGTTGCTTGAGTTAAGGAATTCAAAACCAGCCAGAGTGAGATCCTGTCTCTACAAAAAATAGAAAAATTCACCTGTAATCCCAGCTACTTGGAAAACTGAGGCAGGACCTCTCAAGCCCAAGAGTAGTGAAGCTGCAGTGAGCTATGATGACTGCATTATCCCAGGCAACACAGTGAGAACTCTGTTTCAAGGAAACAAACCTTAGGCCAGCCCAGTGGCTCATGCCTGTAATCCTAGCACTCTAGGAGGCTGGGGTGGGCGGATTGCTCAAGGTCAGGAGTTCCAAACCAGCATGAACAAGACCGAGACCCATTTCTACTATAAATAGAAAAAAATTAATTGGACAGCTAATATAGAGAAAAAATCAGCCAGGCATGGCGGTCATGGTGGCGCATGCCTGTAGTCCCAGCTACCCGGGAGGCTGAGGCAATAGGATCGCCTGAGCCCAGGAATTTTAGGTTGCTGTGAGCTAGGCTGATGCCATGGCACTCACTCTAGCCTGGGCAATAAAGCAAGACTGTCTCAAAAAAAAAAAAAAAAAAGAAAAAGAAAAAGAAACAAACCCTAACTGGATCCAGATGAAAATTGGAGGAAAAAAATTGTCCAGTGCATAGGAAGGCAGAGGTAAAGTTACAGCAAGAAACTTACGCAAACCATCTAACTTTACATCTGATAGAGAGGATGATGGTGATTGGTCTCCACCTTGCTGTACATATTTGTGATAGGGATAATTTCCTGGTTGGTTGTGTCATAGCTCCCTCTAGTGGCTAAATGATACTTCCCTAGCATTTACTCCAATGAACAGAACACTAAAAAAATTATTAGACATTTTGGCATCCCTCCAAATTAATGTTTCTGTTCAAAGTGTATTTGGAAGGGATGAGTATTGTATCCTAGAAACTGAGTCTCAATTTCTACTATTTTCACATTGTATGGTATTATATGGTGACAGGAGTTAAGACACCTTTTAACCTAGTGCTTGGGTATTATCTCTTTGTACTCTTAACAGCCCACGACAAAGCACCTAGCTTAACTCTCTGAAGTGTTCTAACTACCTAAATGGTAATCTTCTTATGAAAAGGTTATGTATGACTTTTCTATCCTTGAAAACCCAGCCTGACACCTATTAAAATGTAGATTATTACTTCTGCCTAAATCTAAATGTCAAAAACTAATTTACTCAATTTATTTTCTGTGTACTACTAAAGCACTAAGCTTTAAGTATTTTTTGTAATAGAAAAAATCCTCCCCTTGAAATCTACAATCTCACAACCATTTTCAGGGTTGTCAGGCATAGCTTTCAAAGCTAGCAATGCAGCACTCCCAAGTTCTCAATCACAGGAGTAAGTGCTGAGTTCTTAAATATTGTAACTTCTTGGGTCTATATTTAAAGCCAATGTTAGTTTGCAAGCATTACTATTTACTCAATGGACAATCACAATAGACACGATGAACAGATGTTTCCTTATAATCTCTTTACTTCATGCCAATCCCATCTTTTCCTATAGGATCAGACTGGACAATGTTCCTGTTAAGTACTGAAACAGAAACAATTACCTTAATAGAATATACAGTATTGTATCATATACTCTAGGATGGCTAAGTATTTCCATATTTCCTTCAATAGAATTTACTGTTGAGTCCACTACTGTAAAAGAATAAAGAAATGTTGGTCATGCCTTTTTTTCTTGTGGCTGCTTTTGCCTAAAAGTATGGGGAACATGATCTCAATAAAGGATCCAGTTAACAGGTTTTTCACTCACATACCCAAATTACACACAGAAACATTAGACTTGTGTATTCTAGTACAATTCTATAATCCCTTATCCAGAACTCCTAGAGCCAGATGTATGGGATTCAGAGCTATTTGCACTTTATGAAAGTGTTGTATATATACCGTGTATTATGTAATGCCCTCAGCAAAGTCTGTGGCAACTGTGTGTAATGAATAATCAAGCACATCAATATTTCTGCAGGAAAAATTTAGTCACACTAAGTGCAAAATGAAGACATCAATTCTGGTCAGGTTTCATATTCCATTACCCCAACAACAAAAAAATCACTTTTAAGTCTTTTGGATTTGGGAAAATGGGTAAGAGATTGTCAATCTGTTTTCTGCCTTTGGGCACTCTTCTTACAGTGATGGAAATAAGTTAACACAAAGGGTGGTTATGTTACAACAGAACTTCAGTCTAACAGCTTCTCATTTTTAAATTTTTTATGGTAAATACATAATTTCATTTGTAATGTAATTACAAACTTCATATACAAAGTAAGCAAAAAGGCAAGCATAGGAAATTCACCATGACCACAGAAACCTGAAAACACCAGCCCTAATGACCAAGACAATGTTTCAAAGACAAAACTGAGGAAAGTATAGTCTAGATCAAACTCGAGCACTACAATGGGTGGATATATAAGCACTCAAAATTTATTTAAAGTATAAAACAAGAAGCCATTTTAAATGAAGAGAATCTATTCACAATCCAAACAGTACTTTTAAAAATATTAAACTTAGCTGCTTAGTTTTAAAAAATAAATTCAGATCCCAAACAATTAGGAATCAGAAAATCAGTTTCTTACCTTTTGATTCCAGTCAGATGTAGGCTGAACAGCAATGTGAGTTATTCAATCTGATGTTATGAAAAATAATTGCTTCTTAAAGAGACTTAAGTTTTTCCTTGGGTAGAAAATAATTATGGGCTCCCTATAATATTCTAAATGAAAATACATAGGTCGATGATAAGGCAAAAAATTCAAGAGAGCTTTTGTAGTTTCAAAAGGGTCTTCTGACAATATGGGTAGAGGTTTATGGTCCACTTCCTAAGATTACAAATGTAAGTCTGTATTTCCTGTCAATAGCTTTTAGTTGTCTGGTCATCTTGACTACATCTATGCTCCCCTTTACCTTTCACACACATGCACGAAAATCTCTATAATCTCCAATTCAGCCTATATAGTAGACAAGGAGTAACTTCTATCTCATTTCAATGCTGGGTCAGTAAAGCACACCTTTCAACTTAAATACACTCAACCTTGAGTAAAGGCCATTTACATTTTTTAGCTTTTTGTTTCCAAAACATTCAATAAACAAAAATGAACCTAAATCTAGCTCACATTAACCTTCCAAAAGCATCTTTTTAGTCACTCTTTATCTTCCCTTAATAAAAAATCTGATGTTTAGGACTGGCGTGGTGGCTCACGCCTATAATCCTAGTTCTCTGGGAGGTTGAGGCAGGCATATGGTTCAAGGTCAGGAGTTTGAAACCAGCCCGAGCAAGGAGAGTGAGACCCCGTCTCTACTAGAAAATCGAAATGAATAAATTGGCCAACTAAAAATATATGGAAAAAATTAGCCAGGCATGGTGGCACATGCCTATAGTAGCCCCAGCTACTCAGGAGGCTGAGGCAAGATTGCCTGAGCCCATGAGTTTGAGGTAGCTGTGAGCTAGGCTGATGCCACCGCACTTTACCAGGGGGCAACAGAGTAAGACTGTCTCCAAAAAAAAAAAAATCTGATGTTTAACAGTTTAAAACATCAAGCATGTCATACAAAATTATAATCATTCAGAATTTTTTTTAAACAGTAAATCTTTTTGCTTCTTGGCCATTACACTGAATTCTTATGAAAAAACTAGAACTACTTCTTTAACTTTTACTTATTTAGTGAAATCCTAGTTTTGAATTTAACATTTCTCCTGATATTCCACAAGGTTCATTAAGATGTGCTGGTTGGGTGACCTTATATAAATCTCTTGGAGCCCCGTTCTCCCACTACCAATTATTTCTTGTTTCCCCTAGGTTTTAAATCCTGTCACCTGAGTAACTACCTTAAATTCAGCTTCCAACTCTGATTAGCACCCAAGGGAAATGTTAGGTTCTAGTTATTTCTTTTGGGTGCAGAAAAGAATGGTTTGAGGGTTGTGACTATCTGTGGAAAAACAAAAAAGAAAAAAACATTGGGATTTAAAAATCTCCCCCAGTCAAGCTGAAGATTTAGCAACCAGGGGCTATCAGTAGAAAAATACAAAAGCAACATGACAAGATATAATCACAGCTTTGGTACAGAATACCAAAGTTTTGGGTACAAAATTACCTTATGGTTGAGAAGGGTTTACAAGGCAACATTCTGAAGAATGTCTAGGTTCTTACTAGTAATGATTTCACCCAAATAAGCAGTTAATCTTGTGCATTATTCACATTTCAAAAAAAAGTGATTTGTCTTGAGATCTAATACATCTATGCTGAAGTTAACATTTAATACTTACCAATTTTTCAGATGAGTTTCATTAACAACATCAAAAGCTAACTCAGTTAACATTAATTTACTGTGGACATCAACCAGTTTTGCACAAAAACCTGTATTGTCCAAATGACCACCAAAAATAAGCAGTATCTAAGTTTTTAATCACTTTTTAGCAAAGCTGGAGCAGCTTCTACTTCAGATTAGATTACCTCCCCATTTACCATTACATACACAAATGCCTTAGTCTCACCTTTTATCTTTCTTTCCCTGAAGACTTTCACAATTAACAAGAGATGGCTAACACCATTTATTACATATTGCCTTTCAAATACTTTTAATATACTAACACAAACACAAGAGTCAGAATCTTATCAATTTAAAGTATTAACTGATAGACCCAGTTAAAATCTTACATGAAGAGGAAAAAGGACAACCATGCATAGTTTTTTAAAAAATGTTTATTTTTTTCAAAGAAAAACGGCAATAGCCAATTGGAAACCTACTTATTCTTCAACTCCAATTGTTTTAAATTTAGAAGTGACTTACTGATTTACTATTTTAAACAAACCCCCCCTTTCCCCTTTAAATGTTTACCATCTACTCGTGCTGAATCCTTCCAAGGAGATTGCTCCAGCGTATATCTCCAGGTCCTCGCTTTGCTCCTTTTACCAAAAAATGCAAAACACAATTCCATCGTGCATCTTAAGGGCTCCAATCGTCAAAAATAGGAAAAAAAAAAATCTTTGGAATAGCCAATTAAGTTGAATAAAAAAAAATCCACACGAATGCGGTTTGGTTGGGGCAGGAATCCACTCCTATGTTCCTGGTAATCTGATCCCGCTCCATGAATCCTTGTAATTCATCCTCCCTATCCTATCCACATTATGATTTGAATCCAATGATCCAGCTCCAAGGATTGGGATCCAGTGAGCCCTCTCCAATCCAAACCTTTATAACCAGCAAAACCAAAAAAGAGGAGGCAAAATGTTAGATACTGTAATCAAAAAAGGTTTCTGGGGAATGATGAGTTATGTCTGTCATCAGTTTAATAGATGTACATCAATAACTATCAAATTCCCCAAAACAAGTTTCTGAATGGTGTTCAGATAAATTTTTAGAAACTTAATCATCATAGAGACTAATTGGAAGAAGCATTTTATATTTACAGTTCAACTGATAATGCCAACACTTGTTACTGTACAGCGTATTACAGGTTTTGTGGTTGCAAAAAGTTATGTAGTTGAAAAGTTTACTGGTATTGCTACCCACCTAAGTCTAAACTAAATCTAATACTCCCATCTTGCAATTTAATTTGTAAATTAAAGTGTTTTAAACATATGAGTCAATTATGAATATTAGTTTAAAGGGGAAGGTGAGACTTAAAAGTATTCCCAACTAGATTATCTACACCAGTACATTGGAATTCTATATTTTGCTTTCATTTTGTCTTTAAAAAATGAAATAGCAACGCTCTATCAGTCACACAGAGGACATGCAGATTTAGCAGTATTGATATTATACTCTATCTCGTTGGAATTAAAGACACCCTGTACCCACATGTACACCAACAGCAGGTCACACATTAACAGTTGTAACTAAGTACTGTGACAAATTAGCCAGTTCTTCCCACATTAGTCCCTATTAAAACAAAAATGGGGGGTAGGGAGCAAAATAAATTGTTACAAAATGGGCAATTTTGCCACAATTGCCAGGTTTAAAGAGCAAAGCAATTGTAGCTAAAGTTAACTGCATAAAATGTTCAAGTATTTTAAGGTACATGAATATAATCATTTTAACCCTTGCCTTTTAGTATAAGGTCAATACTGCCAATTTCATCTGTTGACAACAGCACTTGGAGTCATACCATTGCCTCCATTATTGATCTGATCCTCCTCAATCCTCCTTTTGACAATCCTAAAATGATTGAAATGTGCTCCACAATCCTTAATCCAAAGCATTCTTAATCCATCTCTTCAGATATGTCTACAGAAAGACACATGAAAAGCAAGATAAACATAAGAACTTCCCCAGATAAGATAACCACAAACACCCCCAACATCCCAGTTCACACAAACCAGAGCAGAAGAGACATTTACACAATCACAGTCTGAAGAGCATGGAGAGTTAACTAAATTTAAACAATCCTGTCTATGACATCACTTAAAATACAATTTATCAAAGACATAAGGGGAATGTAGATGTTAGGAGCAAGGGGATATTACACAAGAATGCAATTCAACACTTTAGCCCATTCTGAACAAAACAGTTTGAATTAAAAAATGAAAAGATTGTACTGAGTAAAGGAAAACTGTATACAACATGGGTTCTACAAAAAGTGTCACCAATCATCTTATGTACGAGAGCGAGATCTGCTATGACGGGGAGAATAGCGTGGTGATCCTCTGCTTCTCCTTGGGGAGTAACTGCGACTCCTGCTGTTGCTTCTGCTACGGCTTCTGCTACGACTACGGCTTCGAGATCGAGATCTTCCATAACTTGGACTTCTGGGCCCATCAACTTTAACCCGGATGTAGGCAGTTTCTCCCTATTGGATAGACAGAACTTTCCATTGAAAGATCTAAGCTTTTACCTGTCTTCAGGCATGCTGAATGAATACAATGTAACCAAAACCAGAAACCTGGCAATTTACTCGGACACCCTTGCCTGAATCCTTACCTTCAAATTCCACTGTTAACACCATTGTATCCAATTCTGGCCAAAGAAAAGAATAAGTGTATAACCTACCTCATGGGATCTAAACTTAGTGTTATCCAGTTTTCGAACTGCATAGGTCATATCTTCTTTCCGTACAAACTCCACGACACCAGTGCCATCTCGGTAAACATCAGCATAACATACATCACCTGCTTCACGCATGTGATCCTTTAAATCCTGCCAGCTTCCACTTGGAGGCAGTCCTGAAAAAGTGATTTTTCTTCCTTAATACTAATTATCCCAAATTTCACATCGAACTTTATACATTAGAACAAAGATTAAAATACTTAATGATTTCATGTGACTACAGGTAAAGAGCTGGCAATATTCTGTAACCCGAAGAGTCCAAAATCATTTCTAAAGCACATTCCAGTGCAACCTAATTTGGTAAATCCGCACTACAGTAATCCTTGTTTACCAAACTCACCCCAAAACCAATAATTTAAAACCTAACACGAAAAACTTGCAATTGTTAAACCAGTCACACAAGGACAATTTTTAGGTGGTTTCTGTCCCTTCTCATCAACCCACACAAGCAGTCAACTCACCAGAGACAACCACTCTGTTTTCTGAACGCCTGGATGGGGGGCCATAGCGGCCTCGGGGAGCTCCGCCACCTCCACCCCCGCCGCCGCCTCGGCCTGTACCACGGCCGCTTCGAGGGAACTCCACCCGCAGACGGTATCCATCGTAATCATAGCCGTCGCGACCATACACCGCGTCTTCCGCATCCCTGCGCGATCACAGAAAGCAAGAGGGATGAGAAAAGAAACCGGCAGAAGCTAACTCAGTCTGGAACCAGCGACCGCCCGCACCCCCCGCACATGCGCACCCAGAGTGGAAGAGCCCACATGCGCTGCATAATAGGAATGGCCCCTCCCCCACCCAGAAACACGCCTGGATCCCAAGCACTACACCAGCCCCGAGCGCCTCACTTTTCCGCTCTGCGTATGCTAAAGAGCTCTGGGGACGTCCAAGGCACCCAGCCACCAGAGGAGCCACATCAACTCGGCTCCCGACTCGTCCAGTGCATGGGCGATGTCGTCTCTCCAACCTCTCTAAAAGCCCCCCCTTCCCCATTCTCTACCTTAAGGCCTTTGGAGCCCTCCCCAACTACTCCAACCTATTTCATCAAGGCCGCAAGCCCCATGCCGCCTCACCGCGGGTCCTCGAACTCAACGAAGGCGAAGGGCGGTCCTCCGCGGCGATTCTTGAGGTCGATGTCTCGGATAGCGCCGTATTTGTAGAACACGTCCTCAATGTCCTTGGTTCGGATGTCTGGAGGTAAGTTACCCACGTAGATGCGGCAATCGTTGTTCCCTGCCGGGCCACGAATCACACCACCTCCCGACATGGCGGCGACGAAAAGCGCGGACTCGAGAACGGGCCTTCCCACCAAGCCTAGCGCACAGCAGAGCGAGCCCGCAGCGGCACCACGTCTCCCGCGGCCTCTCCAAAATGGCGCCTTTATCGGCTCGGCGCACGGATATGGGGGGAGAGAGGAAGAGAAGCGGTAGGAAACAGCGATTCGATTTCAATACGCACGCGCCAGAGCGTAACGGGTGCCGCGATTAGTACTCTCACGCACGCGCACGCACGCGCGACGTCACCCTCCGCCCGAAGGGGAAAAAAAAAAGTCCGCCGCCTTCCTGATTTGGCGTGGTTTGCTAATAGAGTGACCAGCCGTTTGGTAAAAATTAAAAACAGAATCCTCATTAAAGGAGTTATTAACCCCTGTCAGTTCTTGAAGGATAGTCAATTTCCCCAGGAAATAACCTTTTTGAAAGCAACTCGGCGCCATCAAAGGACTTGGTGAAACCTAGCTTAGAGCCTTGTCCCACTATGCTCTGCGGCACTAACGGCCTTTGGCGGGAAAGGCTCGGGGGCGGGGCCAAAAGGGGCGGGACCGGGCGGTTGCTCCGGAAACCCGGGCGTCTTCGCAGAATGCGTCTAGTCCGGGAGCTGAGCTGCGGGTCATTCAACTGAGAGCTGTGGCGAAGATTTGTGTTCCCGCCCCTAGGCGAACAGTTCGCGGGTGCTTAGACAAGTGTCTAATTTAGAGGAACTCAGTTTAGATTCCTTAATAAATGCTCTTCATTAAGTACTGTCCCACCTTCAGTTCAGAATTTAGTCTTGTATAGCTCAATCCAACATTCCCTGTGCTAGCGGCGGGTCGTACCCTGGTCAGTAACTGGTGGTACTTGCCAACCAGGAAGGGGTGACAACAACACCGTACCGCCTCCAGGACCCAGATCTCTGTTTCTCTTGTTAATCGCCTATCGCTGGGCCAAGCACTGAGGAGCGGGTCAGTGAATACTTGCAGAATGAATTGTGCCTGTTTCTCCTTTCAAAGAACGAGAAAGAAAAAGGGGGTGTGTGTTTGTGCAGAGTACTGAAGTTAATAAAAGTTTCTTGTAAGAGTTATTTATATACAAGGGTTTTGAACTCATTACCAGGCAGGCCTCTCAGATAATAATACAAATGAGCAAAACAGATGTGAGAACCATAAACATCGGAGAGCATAGTTGCTGCCCAGGACTACGGTGCTGCTTGCATGCTGGCTGGGGAGATAAGAATATTTTACATTTTTCCCAGAAACGTCTGAAATCTGGATTTTTATGTGAAATCCTGGGATTTTTAAATGTTGATAATGAATTCAAAGTAAAAACAAAACAAAACTCTGAAGTCTTAAATATGCTAAAACAAGCCGGGCGCGGTGGCTCACGCCTGTAATCCTAGCACTCTGGGAGGCTGAGGCGGGCGGATTGCTCAAGGTCAGGAGTTCGAAACCAGCCTGAGCAAGAGCGAGATCCCGTCTCTACTATAAATAGAAAGAAATTAATTGGCCAACTAATATATATATAAAATTAGCCGGGCATGGTGGCGCATGCCTGTAGTCCCAGCTACTCGGGAGGCTGAGGCAGCAGGATTGCTTGAGCCCAGGAGTTTGAGGTTGCTGTGAGCTAGGCTGCCGCCATGGCACTCACTCTAGCCTGGGCAACAAGCGAGACTCTGTCTCAAAAAAAAAAAAAAAATGCTAAAACAGATCTGTACCAGAGTTTAAGGGTAATTTTCTTCAGATTACATATTTATGTACAAGAGTCCCTCTCTCCTAAGAGATACCATAAAACATCATTAAAACTAGATGAAGAAATCTTGGGGAATGTGAAAATAAGGGAGAGATTAAAAAGTAATGCTAAGGTTAGTACACAAAATGTGTGCAGTGAGAACCTGTTGAATTTATTGAGAGGAACTACAAATTTGACTCTAGTCTTCCCAGAAGTCACAGTAAAGAACACAAGTCCTGTATATTCAAAATCCAAAGTCTTTGGAATAAAAAGAAATAGGTTGTTCAGAAGGACATGTTTCTTAATTCTAAAAGCCGAATGTGCTTTACAAATTTCTTTTAGTGACTCCAAAATAAAAATTCAATTTGAAATGAGCAAGGATACTTGATTTTGTGTCTGTGTATTCTCAAAAGACTCATAGAGGACCTTTGGTAGACCTTGAACTCTCTGTAATGGTTTCCAAAAGTATCTATATGTGTATACTTGTTTCTGGGAAGATGATTTGACATTTTAATCAAATTCTTAAAGGGGTCTGTAGATGCCAAAAGGGAAAGAACCTCTGAAAATTTTAGTGGGACCATCGTCCTTCAATGAGATATATGTAGTCCCAGCTAATTTTTTCTATTTTTTTTAGTAGAGACGGGGTCTCAAACTCCTGTGCTCAAACAACTCCTGTGCTCCTCCTGCCTTGTCCTCCCAGAGTGCTAGGATTACAGGCGTGAGCCACCGCGCCTGGTCTAAGATGAAAGTTTTTACTTGTATCCAGGCCCAGCGTGGTGGCTCACACCTGTAATCCTAGCCTAGCGCTCTGGGAGGCTGAGGCAGGAGGATCTCTCAAGGTCAGGAGATCGAGACCAGCTCCGAGCAAGAGCGAGACCCGGTCACTACTAAAAATTAAAAATAGGAAAATTAGCCGGGCATGATGGTGTGTGCCTGTAGTCCCGGCTTCTCAGGAGGCTGAGGCAGGAGAATGGCTTGAACCCAGGAGTTTGAGGTTGCTGTGAGCTAGGCTGTCACCACAGCACTCTTGCCCAGGTGACAGAGTGAGATTCCGTCTCAAATAAATTAAAAAAATAAATAAAAACTTGAATCCTCTTTATTCAACAGTTATATAATGAACACATTTTCTTTCTGTTCTAAGTTTTATCCATCAATTTAGATTTATTCAGGCTCATCTTCTGTTGATTAATGATGTCAATGATAACTGAAGTGCTTTTGAAGACATTTTCATTCCAGGAAAATAAGGAAACTACAAATTTGCTTTGATTTATTCTTGTCTGTCTAATTTAATGCAATCATCTCTAATTTTGTTCAGTTCGGTGGAATACAAGGTAGAACTTAGTATAGTGTGAATAGAACATTCTTATTTCTCTATTGGCCTCTTTTTTTCTATTTGAATTTAACCAAATCATAGGTTCTGGGGTTGATAATGAGGTCAGTATGTGGCAGGAAAAGTCTAAATGGCTGTTTATCAGGGTCTCTCAGGATGGCATGAGATTAGTGATTATTAGTTGAGGATGTAACCTTAATGTTACCAGTGCTCCAGAGCTGATGAACTTAATTCAGTCCACAAGCATAAAAAAAAAAAAAAAAAAAAGCAAATAAACCAAACTATTTTGGAATCAGAGCAAAATGAGGTGAATCATTTTGAGGAATATTTTATTCAGAGGAAGGTGAGATCTGATAAATGATCCCTGCCCTGCAAGAGAGTATACCTCTCCAAGACAAGAAAATTCTTATCCCCTGGATTTTGTGACTCTGTTTCCTGGACAGTGCTGAGTAAAGACTGGCAATTCTCCTTTCATAGGCTGCTCTTCCCATAAATTTTCTCTAAATAGCGTACTAGATGATTGATTAGCTTTCGGCTGATTGAATTACAACCACTTGCAGTTTAGTCTCCTGGGATTACATCCTCATCTTTTTTTTTTTTTTTGAGACAGAGTCTTGCCCTATTGCCCTGGCTAGAGTGCTGTGGCATCAGCCTAGCTCACAGCAACCTGAAACTTCTGGGCTCAAGCGATCCTCCTGCCTCAGCCTCCCAAGTAGCTGGGACTACAGGCATGTGCCACCATGCCCGGCTAATTTTTTCTATATATTTTTAGTTGTCCAACTAATTTCTTTGTATTTTTAGTACAGACAAGGTCTCACTCTTGCTCAGGCTGGTCTTGACCTCCTGACCTTGAGCAATCCTCCCGCCTTGGCCTCTCAGTGTACTAGGATTACAGACGTGAGCCACCTGACTTGGCCTACATCCTTATCTTAATTAGAGTTTAGGAGGGTTCTAAACTCCTGAGTTATACATTCATGGCAGTTTTATGGATTGCTCCCACAACCAGCTAATTTAGTAAGTGTGCACTTTACCAACTTCATTCTCAGAAGCTACCTTATTTTCAACACTTGCTGTTTATGACAAGTTTTTTTCTCTCAGGAGAAACTTTTTTAAATACTTTTGATTCAACCCAGTATGTATTAGTGTCATCACCATACTTTACCCTGGAAATGATTAGTTGGGGCGGGGAGGGGAAGAAAGAGAAAGAAATCCAGAGTTAATTACTGTAGGAGTTGAAATCACAAGACGCAGTTTTTTAGTAATTTGCTTACCAGTTAAAACTCTGTACCTGTGGTGCTAGTTACACAACTCTGAATATATTCAAAATCATGGAATTGAATACTTAAAGCAGATGAATGGTATAGTATGTAAATTATAACTCAATAAAATTTTGAAAAATGACTGGAGGGAAAAAACCCTCTATACCTCCACAATCAGCAAAATCACTTTCCAGTACCCTTCCTCTGAAGGCATTATTCGGGGTAGGGAGAGTCTGAGAGTTATTTGCACTGAAATATGGCTTTCGTAATCTGGAAATTCCGTTTTCAGCATTTGTTGTGCCAATCTATACTCTCTTTCCTGGGTATAACTCCATTATTTTTACTATTAAGCAAAGAGACACAAAAATTGGGAATACTACTTGATTCCATTGTATAAAGGAATTACATTCAGGAATAGTTCACTTGCAGGATTCTCTGTTTTTTGCTCCACTTGTTTCAATGATAAATATTCTCTGAAAAGGAAGGAGATAGTATTTTTAAATTTGTCATTCATACTTGTCTTATTTTTCCTAGTAAATTATGTTGAGGACAGATTTCTGCTATAACTCTCCTTATTACCAGTATATTCTCTGTTAACATGAATATTATTGACTGTTTACTGACTGCTCTTTGAAAAAGGTGGGAAGTTAGATGAGCAGAATGTTGTTTCTATGGAAACTTCATCATGTTGCTGTCAGTGAATAGATAATGGGTACAGGATTGTTTTTCATTTCACAGTACAATAAAGATGGCCATTTTTCAAACCCAAATAAATCATCTAATAATATAGTCTTGGTAATCTTATTTTAGGACTGGCCTTCCTCATTCTTTGATTCTTTTTGTTTTGTTTTTGGCTAATTCTTCCCATCTTTATTGTCCCATTATAGATAATAACAGGACATGATTTTGCCAAAAAGACAGCTCTTAAAATGATCTATTATAAAAAGATGTATTCTCACCACGTTTTCCTTTTCCTATTACTATTATAACTCCTCTTCCCCTTTCTGCTTGTTTCTCATAAAAATCAAACTCCAATTCATAGTGTATGTTTCTAATTGTAAGTGGCTCTTTAAGGTATTATATTTAAAATATGGCAGATATGCTTTATTTGTTAAAAATGCTACCTTTAAGGGTGGGCGTGGTGGCTCACGCCTGTAATCCTAGCACTTTGGGAGGCCGAGGCGGGC